GGAGATCGACGCACGCTTAGTTGACGGCACGCCACTGGCCATACGGGAGAAAGTGGAGAGAGTAAAAGTCCGTTGCGGGGGGAATTTCGGGTTTACACAGGAAATGCTCGCGACGACACTGGATGGGCACGACATTTTACTGGGACGTGACTGGCTGCGACGGTATAACCCGCGAATCGACTGGACGACGGGTAGCTGCACTGTGCGAAGTAGCGGTAACTGGGTCGCGCTACCTCGCTGGCAGTCGCCCGAGTCTTCAACGGTCCACGTCAACGCCATCACGATGAAACGGGCTGTCGCCGCTGGAGCTGACGTGTACGCGGTAGATATAGCATTAATAGGAGAAGCAGAGCAGCCGAGTGATTTTCAGAAACTGCTGGCAGCGATACCACCCGAACTACAGGAACTGTTGAAACGGTACCCGGGGATTTTCCCGGATGACTTACCGGAGGGACTGCCACCTCAGCGGGCACACGATCACCGAATAGAATTAGAACCGGGGGCACAGCCAACTGTACAGAGAAAGTTTCGACTGACACAGCCCGAGCTCGACGAACTGAGGAAGCAGTTAGATTACCTGTTAGAAACAAAAAATCATCCGACCAAGCTCGTCACCGTTCGCCGCACCGATACTATTCACACCGAAGAAAGACGGAGGGTTTCGCATGTGTATCGACTACAGAGCACTGAACAGGGTAACAGTCAAGTCGCGATACCCCATCCCCCACGCCGACGAACTGATAGATCAACTGCGAACAGCACGGGTCATTTCGAAAATTGACTTACGAGGAGGTTACCACCAGATTAGGGTTGAACCATCGGACTGCGCAAGGACGACATTTAGAACTAGGTACGGGTCATTCGAGTACACCGTGATGCCATTCGGGCTGACCAACGCACCGGCGACATTTCAGATGACCATGAACGAGGCGTTCCGGCCGCTCTAAGATAAATGCGTGATAGTTTACCTCGACGACATCCTAGTCTACAGTCGTGATAAGCAGCAGCACTTAGCATATCTGGAAGCAGTGTTTAAAGTTTTAGACGAGCACAGACTACTGACCAAGGGTTCCAAGTGCGAGTTCTTCCAGGATAGGTTAGAATTCATGGGGCACGTTATTTCGGAGGCTGGAGTTGAGATCGACCCAAAGAAGCTGGACACGGTAAAAGCGTGGCTCCCCCCGACGAACATCACGGAGCTGCGGAGTTTTTTAGGGTTCGTTAATTATGTGCGTCGGTTCGTCCCCGACATGGCACGGTTAACTGCCCCGCTAACGGATTTACTGCGGAAGGGGGTAGCTTTTACGTGGGGGGAGAAAGAGCATGCTGCCTTCTCTGCCCTAAAAAATGTTCTCTGTTCACCGCCCGTACTGCCCATCGCCGACCCACACCGCCCATTCGAAGTGGTCACAGACGCAAGTGACATCGCCATTGGAGCCGTACTGCTACAGGATTTCGGCAACGGTTTACAGCCCATCGCGTACGAGTCACGAAAACTGCATCCGCCCGAGAAGAACTACCCGATACACGACCGCGAAATGCTCGCGATCGTGCATGCGTTCAAAGTGTGGCGCTGTTACTTGACCGGCGCAGACGTGACAGTACGGACAGACCACAAATCACTACAGTACCTACCTCAACCCCACCTCAACCCACGACAGATCCGTTGGCTCGATTTCCTCGAGTCAAACTTCCACTACACGGTCACCTACAAAAAAGGGGCATCGAACATTGCCGACGCACTGACCCGCCCCACTGCCCAAATCCACGCCATACTACTCGCCCAAACCAGCCCGCTACTAACAGGACTATTTACCCACGGCTATCAAACCGACCCGTTCTTCACAGGTGGAAATTCGCAGCAGTTCGCAGCAGCAAAGGGGGTTTATTACGTAAAAGCCGGCACCGACCGAATCTGGGTACCGGGCTACACTCTACTAAGGGAGCTATTATTACAGGAGGCACACGACGGGGTTACCTCAGGACATTTCGGAGTAGAGAAAACACGGCAGCAGCTGCAGCGGTATTACTACTGGCCCGAAATGCTGACCGACGTGCAACGACACGTGGCATCGTGTCCCACCTGCCAAATCATGAAGTCATCACGGCAACGGCCGGCAGGGCAATTGCAGCTGATACCACCCCCAGAGCGTGCTTGGCAGCAGGTGACGCTGGACTTCGTCACGGGGTTACCGGCTGGAGCAAGTGGGAACGACGCGATCCTGGTCGTCGTCGATCGGCTGACGAAAATGGCACATTTTGCAGCCTGCAAAAAATCGACCACAGCCGAAGAAACAGCCCGCCTCTTCATCTCCACCGTCGTTCGACTGCAACGTCAATCATCAGCGATCGTGATACAAAATTCACCAGCAACTTCTGGTGGAACCTGTGGCAGCAGTTCGGCACACGACTACAATTCAGTTCTTCGTACCACCCCGAAACAGACGGACAGACAGAACGGACAAACCAGACCATGGAGCAACTCATCCGAGCCACGTGCGACGACCCGACCACCTGGGAACAGCAACTGCCACTCATCGAGTTCGCGTGCAATAACTCGCCATCCGCCACGACCCAACAGTCACCGTTTACCTGAACTACGGACAAGATCCCACAGTACCCATGACCCCGAATCCCGACAACCCGGTGCCACGCGCGCAACAGTTCGCAGAGATTTTACAAGCAGCACGGACCCGAGCAGCAGACGCAATAAAGAAATCGAACATCATCGCTAAGCGTAATGCCGACCGCCACCGCCGACCCGTTACTTACCAACCTGACGACCTCGTGCTACTCAACACTCAAAACCTCCGCCTACCCATCACTCCAAAACTCCGCCCCCGTTATTGCGGGCCATTTCGCATCAGCCACATGATCACCCCCGTCACCGCCCACCTCCTCCTCCCTGCTGACTGGTACGTCAGCCCGTCATTCCACGTCAGCCTGCTTCGCCCATATATTCCATCCACCAGCCAACTGCCTCGCAACCGCCCCGCCAGCATGACACGACCGCCGACAGAGCCAACCATCACGCCCGAAAAAATACTGAGCCACCGAGTACGTGACCCACGGGGAGCCCGCAGGATCGAAATCCTGATCCGCTGGAAAGACCGCACGCCCACCGAAGACAACTGGGTTCCCCTGGATAGAATTGAGAATCACCCTGTCCTCACTGAGTATCTGCGCAGTCGAAATTTCCGAGATGTACACGCGCTCTCGTAAGGAGGGCCTCCTTGGGGAGGGGAGTAGTGTAAGGAAAATTCATTTTCCTTACTTCGCGCCCCTGCTTACCGCGTACACGACCATTCCCGCCATCGGCACCCAACAGTGAAACGTTACCCGCTCGCGACACTCGCCTCGACTACGACTCCCGCCACCGTTCAGGATGCGACCCAACCTCACGGTTCGGTTGGTAACCCGCGCTCCGGACCTCCGCCTCGACATTTCCCAACCTCGGCGCTAGGCCCGTAGCGCACCCCATTTTCTCGCATTACCGTTACCACTCTAGTTCGATATATATTCTTCGCGCATGCCTTCGCTCATTGTACTGTTTTGCTTCGATAGTGCAATTCTCTCTCGCTCGCTCAATTGCACTCGTAAGAACTTGCCTCATATTTTCCCACTAATAATTTGCTCACAGTTTGGTTTGAGTGTACATACGTACTATTTGAACGGCCCAAAATAGTCAAGCTGAATCTGTGGCGGAGGGTGCTTCATCGGAGGATCTCCGCTTCAGGTTTCTCGATGTCCTATCGCGCTGCGTTCAGTTCGCTCCGATGGGCTCCAGAATGATTGGAATCGCTGACGTGTCACCCTCTGCTCAAGGGCCAAATATTCGCCCAAGGTGAGGGCGTAGTCTGAATGAGCACACAGCATGTGCTGCGAGGGCGGGGAGTGCACAGCAAAAAACTTTACGTTCGCCAATTTTCTCATCGGTGCTTCCATATTGAAACCTCTGTGGCTACTGACTGATTCGGGTTGGGCCCTCGGTCCTCAAGATTCGCCTGCGCCGAGTCTTGTTGCTCGGCTTCCTCTTTCTCCCCGTGCTCCTCAATACCTTCTGTGCACCGTTCATTACGTCCTGCAGTATCTTGGAAATTGTCCGTGCTTCGGCTGCGACATAACAACGACCTGTGCTCTGCCGCTGGTGCGCAGACGCACGAAGTGTTCTCAGAATGGCTCCCGCAACTTCTTTAACGAAGACTGCTTGTCTCGCCTATGTGGCTCAGCCGCAAATCTCCACAGACAGCCGCCTCCTCCTACAGTCTAGCTCCGGCCCTCTTCCACACGGCGCCTCCAAACACTGCCGCCTTCCGTCGCCTCGCCGCTCCAGCTTTCTGTGGACAACAAAACCACGCAGCGACGGTGCCAATTTGACGACAGTCAAGGTCAGTTGCGAATCCAGTCACCTTACTGCGCGTCCAGTCTCGTTGAACCATACAACGTCGTTTCCTTCTGGTTAGTTCCAGCGGGCTCGCGATTCACGTGTGAGACGAGCCAGCACCTCGTTGAAAGGAACGTGGTTGAGCAGGTTGTGGCTCGTCGTCGCGTGCAGCGTGTCGTCGCACTTCAATTCAGAAGCCCATGAATTTCCATGCCACCGCTGCTCCACCCACTGCCGTACCCGCCACTGCCCTGTGGTCGCCGTGACGTGCGCACCTGAGAAACGACAAAAGTGTCCAACCCCGCAACTCACTCATTCTCGTCCACTGCCGTCAACCTCTCGGGGCCGTGTCGTGCAGTGTAGCGCGTGTTGCCAACCTCCCAAGGGGCATTCGTTCAGTATGCGGTTGAATGTTATGCACTCCGTCTGTTTTCTCTTTTTTTATTTCATCCGTGCCTTCTCTCCCGTCCATGTGCCGGTGTACCGAATGCCCCCTGCCCTTCCCCGTCCCCAGCACTCGTCCGCGCCTTCCGGCACCTGCGCGCAACTCCCTTCTCTTCCGCGTACCGCTGTCCGCGCCCGCTATCCGTCACCTGCCCCTCATCCCCGCGGCTCCATGCTCCCCGCGCCGATACCTTCCGCGGTCACTACCCGGACGAGAGCCGTCCCCCGCGGCGCTAGTCCCTCGGGGAGCAGCGGCGCAGCGTCGAGCAAGCGCGTTGGCGCTGCATGGGGGAAGAAGCGCGGGGCCTTGGGGGGGCGCACGAGCGTGCAGAGGGTATCGGCGGGGGCAGGCTCCGCCGCGGGAGTGGAGGGCGCGAGACGGGCGCAAGTCGGGTCTCCAGGAACAGAGGGTTGGCGGAGCAACGGGAACGGGAACGGGAACGGGAATGGCTATGGGAATGGGAGGGCAAACGGCAATGGGCAAGCGGTGTACGGCATGGTGAGTGGAACGCGTTGCTGGCATGCGCTTGTCGCCGCTCTCTCTCTCCGTGCGTGCGCGCTCCCGCTCCTCCCTCCACTCCACTCCCCCCGTCCGTCCCTTCGTATGCGTGGAGCGTTCGTTTCTTCCACGTGCTTGCGTGCCTTGTCGTTCCAGTACCCCGTGCTGCTCACTTGCCTGGGACCCACCGTGCCTCGTGTCTGTGTCTGCGTGTGCGTGTGCGTGTGCGTGTGCGTGTGCGTGTGCGTGTGCGTGTGCGTGTGCGTGTGCGTGTTCCCTGTGCGCCTGCCTGTGACTGCTGTGCGCGCGTGGGGAGCAGGCGGAGGAAAGCGAGGAGGAAGGGGAGGGCGTGGCGACGATGGGCGACCTCATGGACATGGTTCGCGACGCCGAGCAAAGTACGCCGTCTCGCGCGCGCTCGCCTTGCCTTTCAACGCGCCACACCATGCCACTAGATGCCGTGTCCTGCCATACCGTACCATGCCTTGCCTTAACCATGCCGTGCCGTGCATTGTTACATCTCTCAACGTGATATCATGGCGCGCCGTGGCGAGCCTTCCACCTGCCAGCAATCGACCACTGCAGCCTACGCTGTGCTCCCTCCCTTGCCGCTTGTTCATCTTTACTCTATCCGCTGTCCCTGCTTTGCTTCGTCGTTCCACTCTCCTCCGCTCACACGATGTACCACTTTTTTCCCTTGCTCCTCCCGCCGCCATCAGACGTGCAGCAGCTGAACGCCCTGCATGCCGCGGCGTTATCGGAGCTTGCAAAAGCGAGTACGCGGAGGGAGTCCTTGCAGGAGCAGGTGAAGCTCATGGGCGCGCGTCTCGAAGGCACGCAGCGCCAGCTGCAACTGCTGGGCTTCGCGGAGGGCGATTCGGACGAGGGGAGACGCGCGGTTGTCGAGGCGGGGGAAGGCGAGGGGGCGCAGCAGCGCGAGCGGCAGCAGAGGAAGCGGGAGCAGGAGCTGGAAGCGCAGGTGGCGGCGGCGCAGCGGCGACTGGAGGAGAAGGTGGTGGTGCGCAACCGGATTACGGAGCTGCGCCGCGAGGTGGTGAGACTGCAGCAGCGCGCGGCGCAAGGCGCGATGATGGGGGAGAGGTTGAGGCACGCGGAGCGGCAGCAGGCGGAGCTGGAGACGACGCTCGAGGGCGCGCGGGGCGAGGAGAGGCGCGCGCGGGAGAGGGGCGAGGAGGTGGAGAGGCGCATGGGGGCGGAGGTGGCGGCGGTGCGCGAGCAGGTGGAGCGCATGGAGCGGGACCTGGCGGGGCTGGCGCACGTGCAGCGGGAGCTGGGGCAGGTGGCGGAGGAGAACGCGCAGATGGAGGGCGAAGTGGCGCGGCTGAAGGAGGAGCTGGCGGAGCGGGAAACGGAGGCGCAGTCGGCGGCGTGGGCGCAGGAGGGCGAGGTGCAGCTGATGCGCGCGCAGCTGCTCAAGGACGTGGGCGAGTGGCAGGAGCGCGCGTGGGGGGAGGCGGAGGCGCGGGAGAGTGCGGAGGAGGAGAGGGGGAAACGGCAGGAGGCGGTGGCGGCGCTGCGGGAGGTGGCGGAGAGGCAGGAGAAGGTGCTGCAGCGCGCGCTGAGGCAGCTGCAGGTGAAGCTGGGCGAGGCCGTGGAGTGGCGCGACGACGTCGTGAAGGAGGCCGTCAGGGACAAGGAAAGAGCCATCGCGTCGCTCCGCGCCACGCTGCAGATGCTGCAGGGGCGCGAGGAGGAGCGCGCGGGGGAGGTGGCGCAGGCGGAGGAGCAGGCGGATGGGCTGCAGGAGCAGCTGGCCGCGGCGGAGTTGGCAGCGGAGGAGTGGGGGCGGGAGAGGGCGCGGGTGCGCGAGGTGCACTCGAGGGAGGCGGAGGCAGCGGGGCAGGCGGCGGAGGAGGAGGCGCGGATGGTGGTGGAGGGCATGCGCGCCATGGAGCGCGCGCGCATGGACGTGGCGGCGCAGGTGGCGGCGCTGAAGGGCGTGGTGGAGGAGCGGGAGAGGAGCCTCGCGGAGGAGAGGCGGCAGAGGGAGGAGTTGGGGGAGCAGCAAGGGGCGCTGCAGCGGGAGGTGGAGAGCGCACAGGCGCGGCTGAGCGACGCGGATAGCTCGCGGGAAGAAGCAGAAGCGCACGGGAGGGAGCGGCTGGGGGAGGTGGAAGCTGAGGTGGCAGTGGTGGTGGCGCGGGAGGGGGAGCTGGGGTGGGTGGAGGCCGAGCTGGAGAGGTTGAGAAACGAAGCAGCGCGGTTTGCAGCGGTGATGGAGGATTCTGATCGGTTGGAGGCGTGGGCTGGTGAGACAGGGCGGAGGAACGAGGAGCTCCGGCAGGCGATTATGGAGAGCAGGGAGAGGGCGGCGGGTGTAGAGGCGGAGCGAGGGGCGGAGTGGGCAGAGCGGCAGGCGGAGAGGGAGGAGTGGGCGCGGGTGGAGGCGGAGCGGGAGGAGCTGGCGGGGGCGATCGAGTCCCTCAGGGCGCAGGTGGTGCGCGCGGACGAGAGCATGCAGGCGCAGCAGCAGCTGCACGACGCGCAGGCCCGCGCCTTCCAGGAAGGGCTGGCAGCCGCGGCGGCGAGTGCGGAGGCGTACCAGGAGCAGGAGGAGGCGGGGCGCGCGGAGAAGGAGCGGATGGAGCGCAAGGCGCGGTGGGGCAAGGTGGTGCCGGCGGGCGAGCTGGCGTGGGAGTACTGGAGCACGCTGCTGCTCACCGTGGACCAGCTGCTGCTGCACCGCCACCTCGTGCCTGATGACGCGCGCAAGCTGAGGGCCATGGTGTGGCGCCGCAGCGTGCGCGTGCAGGAGGCGTGGGAGTCCGTGGGGGGCGCCCAGGTGGTGCAAGCCGCGCTGGAGAGTGGCGGGTCGCAGGGGGAAAGGCGAGCGGGTGCAGTGGGGGTGGAGGATGCAGTGGTGGCGGCAGCGCTGAGAGGCGTGCTAGAGGATGATCCCAAGGACAGGTGAGCACGCCTCAACTCCCACCGCATCGATCCTGCGCAGGATCGTTATTTGACGGGTTTTAAAAAGGTCTGGAAAGTTTTGGATGTAATAGCAGGTGTTTAGTGCGGTGGTGGATCGATATTGCGCGATCGATCGCCGAAATTAAGGGGAGTTGACGCGTCCTGAGGCCACGCACAGAGGCGCTGCGCTTGTATGGCTGGGAATGTGTGCAGCAGTGAGCTGTCGCCCTGTATGGCTACTCTCCTGCACACACACTATCAGCCACTCACCGTGCACCGCCCTTTCCTTGGCGGGTCTCATCGCTGTCTGCCCAGAGCAGTGCTGGTGGCCAGGCTCTAGGGACTTGGCATGCTCCTGCACTCACCATGTGTTGCCCCTGCTCTCTGTCCCCACCGCCCTATGCAGTAAACAGGGGCCGCAGGGCCCATTCCTTAGCCCAATATGCAAGCACCACGCAGCTCTCTGCACCACTCTCACCCTTCCCTCATGCCATCTTGCACGTTCCCCCCCTCCCTTCTCTCTCCCCATGCTGCCTGTGCGACTGTGCTCCCTCGCTCCAGCAGGCGCCCCCTGCACGTGGTGCACATAGCAGCAGAGATGGCCCCCGTCGCCAAGGTGCGCTGCGCCCATGGGGATAGGGGTACCATGGCGGAGAGGGGAGACGGGGGGTGGTGTCAGGGTTGGGGAGGTGCATGGGGGAAGGCGGGTGAGTGGTTTGAGCAGGGCGTTGGAGAGTGGTTGCTGGGCTTGGGGTTGAACGCATGACTGTTGTACGTGCAAGTGCCGTGCAACCAAGTACACACACCCACACGCAAAAACACGCTCATGTGTGTCCCATGGCAGGTGGGAGGGCTGGCAGACGTGGTGACGGGGCTGTCACGCGCGTTGCAGCAGCGGGGCCATCTGGTGGAGGTGGTACTGCCCAAGTACGACTGCATGGACTACTCACGCATCCTAGACCTCAAGGTGCGTGTGTGCGGCCCCCTGCCCATGCGCCTGCATGCCCCCACATGCCTGCCCTGCCCTCTTCTGCCCTGCCCTGCTGTACCAGCTCGTGCTTTGTTCGTATCACTGATTTTCTTCACTTAATGCACTCTTCCTCAGCACCGCCTTACCCACCTCCCCACATGTGCGTGTGCTGTGTCGTGCCCGCCTGAGCAGCACGTGCCAGTGGAGTTTTCCTGCTACTTTGACGGCCAGCAGCACCCCTGCAAGATATGGCGCGGCATCGTGGAAGGTGCGTGCCATGCCATGCGCACAACTCCTCCTGCACTTGTACTTGCTTCATTTCCTTGCCTCTTACCACGTTTCTCTCTCTTTCTCAGCGGCCCTCAGTCTTTCCCTTCCCCCACGCACCTCCGCTCAATCTTCTAACGACCCACCCTTGCTTCCCTTGACCTCCCCCGCTCTTTCCCCCCACCTCCTCCCCTCCTCCCCTCCTCCTTTCCTCCTCTCCTCCTCTCCCCCCCTCCGTCCGCCCCCCCCCCTCCCCCCCATGCCAGGCTTGCCGGTGTACTTCTTGGAGCCACAGCACCCGGCGCGGCTGTTCTGGAGGGGCGCCTTCTACGGCTGCTCCGACGACTTCCGGCGCTTCTCCTTCTTCTGCCGCGCGGCCCTCGAGTTCCTCGCCGCCTCGGGCAAGCGCCCTGATATCATCCACACACATGACTGGCAGACCGCTCTCGTGGTGCGCGCAAGGGTCGGGGGTTGGGGGTGACGAAGAGGGGGGACGGGGGGGAAGAGGACTTTTGTGTTGGTGGAGTGGTGGAGAAAAGAAGAAGGGTATGTGAGCATGGGTCCTGAGCGTGTGACTTGCTCTGTATGGCGCATTGGCGCCCTGCCACAGTACGCCACATGGGCGGCCGCATCGCACTCCATGTCAGTCACGCCGCTTCTAGTACACACAGCTTCTCACTCCTCCATCCCCCCCCACTCACCACACCTCCCCCCCTCCCCTTCCCCCCTCCTCCCCACGCCCCACACCCCACGGCCTGCCCCCTTGGTCCAGGCGCCACTGTACCACGATGTGTTGATGCCGTGGGGCTTCACCTCAGCGCGCCTGGCGTTCACGTGCCACAACATGGAGTACCAGGGCACCGACGCCCCGCCCGCCCTCGCTGCATGTGGGCTGGACCCCGCACGCCACAACACGGTGGATGGCATGCGCGACCCCAATGCAGGCAACCGCATCAACGTGCTCAAGGTGCGGGCATGGTGCCTCTGTGTGTGCACCTGCCACGCGCGCACACCCACGGGTCATCTCTGCTTTCTGTATCTGCTGCCTCTCGCCATCCTGCCAGTCGCCTGCCCGCTCGCCCTTCCATTGCCGTCCACAAACCTCACTCCAAAGTCCCCCGATTTTCTACCCTTTCCCCACCAAACTCTTTGCCTACATGACTCTGCTCTTATCCGCACCCTTCTGCTCCTCCCTTCCCTGCGCCCATTCGCCCTCACCCATGTGCCATGCGCTGCGTGTGTGTGTGCCGTGTGTGTGTGTGCCGTGTGTGTGTGTGCCGTGTGTGTGTGTGTGTGTGTGTGTGTGTGTGTAACGTGTGTGTGTGTGTGTGTGTGTGCCGTGTGTGTGTGTGTGTAACGTGTGTGTGTGTGTGTGTAACGTGTGTGTGTGTGTGTGCCGTGTGTGTGTGCCGTGTGTGTGTGTGTGTGTGTGTGTGTGTGTGTGTGTGTGTGTGACAGGGAGGCATAGTGTACTCGGACATGGTCACCACCGTGTCACCCACATACGCCATGGAAGTGCGCGGACCCGAGGTCAGCTGCCCACCCCCTCCGCTGCCCACCCCCTCCGCTGCCACATAGCACTGTGCTGTACACTCCCCTGTCGCCGTTCCTCCTCACCCAAGCCAAACTCATCCCTGCTGCCCCCTTGCCACTATTGCGCAACCACAACACTGCATAGTCCACCTCACTCGCACACCCACCCACCTCCCTCTTGCCCAAACCCCTCCTCCCTCCCCCTCCCCCTCCCACACACACCTCCCTTCTCCACCACCTCCTCTCCCGCGCCCCTCACTCCCCCCCCCACCAGTACGGGCGAGGGCTGCAGGGGGTGCTGCAGCAGCACGCGGGCAAGTTCCGCGGAGTGCTGAACGGCATCGACAACGTGGCGTGGGACCCCAGCACCGACCCCCTGCTGCACCAACACTACACCGCACAGGACGCCGTGCACGGCGGCAAGCCCGCCAACAAGGCGCACCTGAGGGCGCTGCTGGGGCTCAGCGACCAGGGCAGCGATGCCCACAAGCCGCTGGTGCGTGGGCGCTTGTGTGGTGGCAGTGGGTGTGGTTGGTGGTGGGTGGATGGTGGGCAGGGGTTGGGTGCACAGTGGGGTGCGGTGAGGTGAAGGAGAGCAGAGAGAGAAAGGGAGGGAAGATGCGTGATGGGATGGGAGGCGTTGGTGGGGCTTGGCAGTGGAGCAGCAGATGCGGGGCAGGTGGCTGGCAGGAGGCAAGGGGATGTGTGCTCTGCAGAGGGGGAAGGGACAGGGGCAGTGATGAGCAAACAGTGAAATTTGATGGGGGCATACATCACATCTAATGCCTGTACTGTACATGCCCATGGCAAGCACGCTGTGCACCCACCCACCTCCATCTGCACCTTCCCACTCCCCCCCCTGTCCCCTGGCAGGTGGTGTGTGTGACGCGGCTGGTGCCGCAGAAGGGCGTGCACCTCATCCGGCACGCCATCTTCAGGGCCAGGGAGCGAGGTGCACAGTTCGTGCTGCTCGGCTCCAGCCCCGTGCCTGACATCCAGGTGCCTGCCATGCCCTGCTGTCCCGTGCCGTGCCGTGCCATCCCGTGCTGTGCTATGCCATGTGATGCTATGCCACATTGTGTGCATCCTCGTGTGCATACACCATGTACCATCACAGCACACCATGCCATGCCATCGCTGCCATCTATTCATCAGCACCACAGGCCGCCTTGCTCCCAGCACCTCACACCACACCTTTGCTCCTCCTCCTTCCCCATGCGTGCCACTCTGCCTGTGTGGGTGTCCCAGCGTGACTTTGAGGGCATAGCGGCGCAGATGGCGGGCAGTGGGGACGTGAGGCTGGTGCTCAAGTACGATGAGAACCTCTCCCACCTGCTCTTCGCCGCCGCTGACCTCGCCATCATCCCCTCCATCTTCGAACCCTGCGGCCTCACCCAGGTGACTCGAGCACTGCACTGCACCCTGGGTTCACTGAGTCAAATCGGAAAGGACGTACCAGTTTTGTCAGGTTTAGAGTTTAGGGAGTCTTGTCGGCCTTGCATCAACCAGGCGTACAGGGTGGTCACGAGTAGCATTGGTTTCCATGCTGTCCGCACCGCACTTGTCTCACTGTGCTGCTGTTCTGCCTCCCCCCTGCACCCCCATTGCGCCCCTGGCCTCCCCCGCAGCTGATCGCCATGCGCTATGGCGCCATCCCCCTCGTGCGCAGAACAGGCGGACTGGCCGACAGGTACGGCACATGCTGGACTGGGCGGGGCAGGATGGGGATGGACGGAGGTAGTTGCATGGGGGATTGATGGCAGTGGGGGGTTGGGTGGGCGTGATAGCATAGTGGGCTTGTTGCAATACAGCGAGGGAGCAGAGGCATGCAGTGACGGTAAAGCATGGCTCGTGAGAGTAGCTAGCTGCACAGAGAGAGGGGGTTTGAGGCTGGCAGTCACCATTCCTACCATGCTTGCTACCCCTGGTGCGGTATGCGTGTGCGACACCCATCATCTCAGCAACGTGGCTGTGTGGCCGTGGCAGCAGCATGCAGTCATACCATGCCCTCCCGTGCTGCCCACCATCCACCCCACCCTCAACCCCGCAGTGTGTTTGACGTGGAGGACAGCTCTGTGCCCATGGACAGCCGCAACGGCTTCTGCTTCACCAAGGCTGACGTGCAGGTCACTGCCGCCTCCTCTGCACTGCCCCTCGCACCTACTCCACTTGAGTCATCATGCAGCACATTATCATGATCATGATGCAATGCTCGCCTTGCTGTCCGTCACCTGCTGCTTGCTTTACTCTTCATTTACACTCCTGTCGTGTCTCGCTTTCCCGCTGACCTTGTCCGCCCTCGCCATCACGCCCTACCCTCGCCTCATGAGTCTAACCTTTCCTTGTGCCCATGCATGCAGTCATTCAACGGGGCATTTGACCGCGCCATCTCGAGCTACTACGAGCGGCAGGAGTGGTGGCAGGAGCTGGTGGTGCGGACTATGAACATGGACTTTGGATGGGGTCAATCCAGCGAGCAATACGAGGAGCTCTACTTGAACTGCTTGCCTGCACGCGTGCATGACTGATCTACATGCGGTTATTACTTTGTGTATACATGATATTTGGGTTGGGAGTCAAGGGGGATATAAATTATAATACAAACATTGCACAGAAGCCCTGTATAAGGATACTGGTTTCATGAAATTCGTACAGTGGTGCTGCACAATTGAAATTCATGTATTGATAGCCTAAGCTGCTGCGTGGAGATAAATACCGCTTCATAGTGAACACTACAGTGTTGAATTATGAAGTGTAGATTGCAGTGAAATACCGTACCGTGAAATTGATCGCTGTTGTCAAACAAATAGGTTTACAGATAACTGTAGTGTATGCCTTTTCTACATTCCAGCCCATTCCTTCCCTAGCCTCTGTAGTGGAGCAAGATGTGATGTCTGTACAAGTTGCAAGGGCAAGCTTCTCTTGACTCCACTGTCGTTTTAACGCCAGGGGTGGAGAAGGTCAAGAGCCATGCAGCAACGGGATCACCCCACATCAGCTACACCACCCCATGTGACCTTTCTCTTCTGGCGCTTCCCCTGCCTCCTGTTCCCCCCTTTATCATCACCACCCTCCTCTTCTTCCTCGCCTTCCTCACCCCTCTCTTTCACTCCCCCTCCTTCCACTTCCGCCTCAACGCCCTCACCAGCAGCATCACCACGGCCCCTACCCTCTCCTTGCGCGTTCCCTCCATCCATGAGCATTTTCCAAGCATTCTGAAACGCTGAACTCCGTGCAGCGCGTTTCCCTGATGCTCCCACCTCGCGCGCCCTCCTTTTCTGCCCCACCAGTCCCTCCTTTCTTCCCGACACCTCAATCTCTACATCGCGGCCTTCCCCTCTCCTCCTTTTTGCCTTCCTCATTGCAAAACCAGTATCCCCTGCTAAGGCCGTGGATTGAGTAGTACCCATCCTATCCTCGCTCGCAGGAGCACAGGCAGCAACAGCAGGGAGAGAAAATAGAGGCTGTGATGCATACCCATGCTGTGGCCAGGCAGGCATGACTGGGGAAGGGGCAGACTGGGGAGGGAAGGGATGGGAGGATGAGTGTGGTGGTGGTGGGAACGGAGGGAACTGCATGTATGGATAGGGTGGGTAAGGAGGAGGATATATCTGATTTACCGGGTAAGGAGGCTGAAATTGGGTATGATGAGTGGGTGTAAGGGTGGAAGTGACTGGGATCAGACATTGTGTGGTTACTGACTGAGGCTGCTGCTGCTGATGCAGTGGCTGCTGCTGCTGCTGCTGCTGCTGCAGTTGCTGATGCTGTTGCTGTTGCTGTTGCTGTTGCTGATGCTGCAGTTGCTGCTGCTGTTGATGCTGCTGCAATTGCTGCTGCTGTTGCTGCTGCTGTTGATGCTGCTGCAATTGCTGCTGCTGTTGCTGCTGCTGGTGATGCTGCTGCAATTGCTGCTGCTGTTGCTGCTGCTGTTGATGCTGCTGCAATTGCTGCTGCTGTTGCTGCTGCTGTTGATGCTGCTGCAATTGCTGCTGCTGTTGCTGCTGCTGCTGTTGATGCTGCTGCAATTGCTGCTGCTGTTGCTGCTGCTGTTGCTGCTGTTGTTGCTGCTGCTGTTGCTGCTGCTGTTGATGCTGCTGCAATTGCTGCTGCTGTTGCTGCTGCTGTTGCTGCTGTTGTTGCTGCTGCTGTTGCTGCTGCTGTTGATGCTGCTGCAATTGCTGCTGCTGTTGCTGCTGCTGTTGATGCTGCTGCAATTGCTGCTGCAATTGCTGCTGCTGTTGCTGCTGCTGTTGCTGGGGCAAGAGTAGCTCTTGCACTTGCTGCAGCAACTGCTGGTGTTGCTGCTGCTGCTGCTGGGGTAGAAGCAATTGTTGCAACTGCTGTAGCAGCTGCTGCTGGTGTTGCTTCTGGTGCTGCTGCTGCCGTTGCTGGGGCACGAGCAATTGTTGCAACTGCTGCAGCAACTGCTGCTGTAGCTGTTGCTGCTGCTGGGGTAAGAGCAATTGTTGCAACTGCCAAAGCAGCTGGTGCTGTGGTTGCTGCTGCTGCTGCTGTTGCTGAGGTAAGAGTAGCTGTTGCAGCTGCAGCTGTGGCTGTTGCTGCTGTTGTTTTTGCTGCTGCTGCTGCTGCTTCTGGGGGAAGATGTTTTTTTGCAACTGCTGCAGCAGCTGGTGCTGTGGTTGCGTCTGCTGCTGGGGTACCATTAGCTGCTGCAGCAAATGCGATTGACGCTGCTGCTGTTGCTGCTTCCGAAACCATGGTGTCGCTGCTGCTGATGTGCCTCCTGGTACAGTACCACCAGCCACCACTGCTCTGGCTGCTCCGGGTGTGAATATCTCTGCTACTGGTGCTGCTCCTGCTGCTGCTTCTGTTGTTCCTACTGCTGCTAACAATGCTGCTGCTGGCACTGCTGCTGCTCGCACTGCTGCTGTTGACACTGCTGCCACTGGTATTGCTGCTGCTGGCACTGCTGCTGCTTTCACTGCTGCTGCTTTCACTGCTGCTGCTTTCACTGCTGCTGCCGACACCGCTGCTGCTGGCACTGCTGCTGCTGGCACTGCTGCTGCTGGTGCTGCCGCTGCTGGCGCTGCTGCTGCCGGCGCTGCTGCTGCCGGCGCTGCTGCTGCCGGCGTTGCTGCTGCCGGCGCTGCTGCTGCCGGCACTGCTGCTGCTGGCGCTGCTGCTGCTGGCATTGCTGCTGCTGGCACTGCTGCTGCCGGCACTGCTGCTGCCGGCGCTGCTGCTGCCGGCGCTGCTGCTGCTGGCGCTGCTGCCGGCACTGCTGTTGCCGGCACTGCTGCTGCCGGCACTGCTGCTGCTGGAGCTGCTGCCGCAGGTACATGCGAGGCGACATGCCATGTTCCCAGGGAGGGCTGTGAGCGGTCACTGGGGGCAGCAGGATGCCCTGCAGCAACTCGTGCACCAGGTTGCAATGGGGCGCTGAGTGGGCGCGGCAGCAACGGATGCAGGCTGGCGGCAGGTGGGCGAGGAGTGGTGGACGATCCACGCTGTTGTGGGCCATTGGGACCTGCCTCATACCCACACATGGCTCCTGCACGCACCGCTTCCTCACAGCCAGAGCGCCCCTGCTGCTGCTGCTGTTGTTGATGTTGCTGCTGTTGCTGCGGCTCTGGCATTTGGAGTGAAGGCAGTGCGCCAGAGTCACCACTGTCGCCACTATCATCACCGCTGTCACTATCTTCTTCGCCACCAATACCAATTTCCTCCTCATCCTCTCCTCCACCACCTCCCTCGTCACCGGACGACCACAAGCCATCCCACTTGGCCCCCTCCACCGAGTTTGCCGCTCCTCTCCCCACTCCCTTTCCTCCCCTTGCTCCTCCTTGCTCTCCTCCTCTTTTGCCTCCTCCCTGCCGAGTTCTCGCCTGACCCTGCCCCCTCCCTCCTTTCCCACCCGCACGAAACCCACCTTCCTCTTTTCCAATCTCCCTTCCCGCATCCACTTCGCCTGCCCTGACCCTCCTCCTCCACTCCTCATCCTCCTCCTTCCATCCGCGCCTCCCCCCTTTCCCAGGCCGGTCCTCCAATGGGTCGCAGTAATACGGCATGTTGAACAAAAAATTCCTCCACACTCCACCATCCCTTCTACCAACCGTCTCACCCCCCCCAGCCCCCTCTCCCCCTCCAGCAACACTCCCTGCCACCCCACCCTCCTCTCCCTCCGCACCCGCCCGTCCGACTCCCCCCTGCCCCGTGCCCCAGCCCCTCCGCTGCGGGTGAGAGTGGAGCCACTTGCACCACTTGTGGCCTTGCCGCACGCGCATGCGCACGCGCCACCGGTCCCCGTCCAGGGCGCGCAGCAGCGCCCTCACGTCGCGCCCATCCGCCCACTCCTGCAGGTCTATCCCCGCCTCCACTGCCGACTCTGCCCACTCCGCTGCCACTGCTGCCTGCGCTCTCTGCTGCCCCTGCTCTGCGTCTCCGCTGTCCCTCTGCCGTGCTGTTGAGAGTTGCTTTCCATGCGCTGCTGCCTCCAGTGCCCACACCACCTCTGCCTGTGCTGTTCGCCTAATCTTCGTTCGCTTCATGCGTGGCCCCTGCTGGTGCTGCTGCTGTGCTGCTGGTTGGGCCAGCCCCGTTGATGATGTGTTGCCAGCAGCTGCATTGCAGGGAGCAGCACCAACAAAAGCACCAGCAGCAGCCTCTGCACTGGCTGCTGCACCAGGAGCAGCAGCAGCAGTGGTGGTAAAGCGCGTGGCAGCAGAGGGCAGTTGATAGAGGCCTGAGATGCAGGTGGAGGAGATGCCCCAGCGCTGCAACAAGGCAAGCATCCACTCCAGGGTCAACAACGATGACGTGCGGGAGGAAGGGGATTGGGCAGGCAAGGGCGCGGTGGAGGGAGGTGAGGATGGTGCACAGGCAGCCGTGCTGCACTGTAGGTGGAGGCGATGGGCAAAGCGCTGGATGGAGGCGGCAGAGACGCTCACAGGGCGCCATGCGGGGAGCTTTCTCCCCTCTTCCCGTGCGCACTCTCTCTGCACCGCCTGCTGCCACTGCTGCCTTTCCAGGCGCCTCTTGATCCACTTCGCCAACACCCCCTCCCTCTCTGTGCCCCCCATTCTCTGTCTCCACGGATGTCTTGCCTCATTCCACTTCTCCCGTCTGTTTATTCCCATCCATTCTTCCTTCTCCCTCTCCTTCTCTTTCTCCTCCGTCTCACTCTCCCTTTCCATCTCCCTCTTCCTCTTCCTCTCCCTCTCCTTTTCCTTCTCCTTTTCCTTCTCCTGCTCCAGCAACATTTTCTCCTCCCTCTCCCTCTCCCTCTCCCTCTCCCTCTCCCTCTGCCTCCTCTTCCTCTCTCTCGCTTTCTCCCTCACCTTCTCCCTCACCTTCTCCTTCTCCTTCTCCTTCACCTTCTCCTTCTCCTTCTCCTTCTCCTTCTCCTTCTCCTTCTCCTTCTCCTTCTCCTTCTCCTTCTCCTTCTCCTTCTCCTTCTCCCTCTCCCTCTCCTTCTCCTTCTCCTTCTCCTTCTCCTTCTCCGTCTCCGTCTCCTCCTTCTTCTTCTCCTTCTTCTTCTCCCCGTTCCCATCCCCCATCCCTCCCACTCGCTTCTTCTCCACCCCAATCCCTTCATCAGCCTTCCTCCCCACAATCTCCCCAGCATCCACCCCCTTTGCCTCTCCTTTTACGTCTGCAGGTTGCAGATTCCCAAGCACCTCTTTTCCCGTCACTGCTGACTCGCCCTCGCCCTGCAACGCGCGCTGTCGCAGCATCTCCCTGCACGCAGCCACCTCACGCACGAACGTGGAGCACCAGTTGTACGAGAACTGAAACCCCGGAAACACTCCCACCAGCGGCCCGATCCGCCTCGCCACCTCGATAATCACCTCTTTCCGCAACACATACTGCACCCTCGCGTTTCCCCCCCTGCGCCCAGCAGGCAGCGCAGCAGCAGAGGCGGGGCGAAGAGGCGAGGAGAGGTGCTCCCAGTAGATCTTGATGGCCGCCCCAATGTCCTCCACCCACCGCGCCAGTGCCACCTCCAGCAGCCGCACCGCCCTGATACGCGGCCTCTTCAGCATCCCCACACTCAGCCCCGCTGGCAGCTGCAGCCACCGGCGGCGCTGGCACAGGATGGCAAAGAGGACTTTGAGACTCAGCTGCATGTTCCACGCCAGCTTCACCGCTTGCAGGAGTGTTTTCTGCCGCAGGCCCGGCCGAGCCTGCACAACGAGGCAGAGCGCGCGGACGCGGCTGAGCGTGATCCCCTCCAGTACTACAGGCCCTTCCCCTGCCCCCTTGCTGCACTTGCTGCGTGGGGGCCGCCACAGGCAGATGAGCTCATCTGTATCGTCCTCGCCCACGCCCTGCTGCCTCGCTGCATGGCCCTGCTGCCCCCTCGCACATTCCCTTTGCCCTGCTGCCTGCCTAACATCCGGGGGCGGCAGGAGCAAGGAGCAGGCGGAGGCGTGGATGAAGAGGGGTTGAGTCGGCAGCTTGCTGTGGTAGTTGGTGCCCAGGCATGTCACACGACGGGAATAACGCCGCCCCGACACACCCACTGACCCGCCCTCTCCATTCTTCTCCCCCACACCCTCTACGCTCTTCTCCCCCCCACCCACTACGCTCCTCTCCCCCCCACCCTCTCCCCTCTTCTCCCCCCCACCCTCTCCCCTCTTTTCCCCCCCACCCTCTCCCCTCTTTTCCCCCCCACCCTCCCCCCTCTTCTCCCCCCCACCCTCTACGCTCTTCTCCCTCCCACCCTCTTCCCTCTTCTCTCCTCCACCCTCTACCACCTCCTTTCCCCCAACCTCTACCCTCCCCTCTTCCCCACCCTCTACCTTCCCTCTTGCTCCAACCTGTACCGTCCCCACCCCCCCATCCACAATCTTCCCCTCTCCACCTGCCTCTTCCCTCCCTTCTCCCCCATCCTCTTTCATCCCTTCTTCCCCACCCTCTACCATCTCCTCTCCACTCTCCTCGTCTCCTCCATCCTCTGCCCCTCTCCCACACTCCCCTTCCCCTTCGTCGCTCGATTCGTCCACCACCATAACCGCACGTCCCTCATCACCATCCTCACCCGCCCCACCCCCCCCATCTTGCGCATCGCCCACACCCTCCCGCTTCTCCCCCCCGTGCTCCTCACGCCCCTGCTCGCCCTCCCTCTTGGCGTCCCCACTCGGAGCGCCCCGCCGCCTGCCCATGCGCATGATCTCCAAGTGCTTCTCCCATGCGAGGCTGCCGCGCCCCACGGGCCCCTTCACCAGCACCTCCGACTCCAGCACTGCTTCCTCCACCACGTCTCGCCGCAACTCCCTCACCGTCTCCCTCGCTGCACGCTCTGCAGCACCCAGCACCGCGTCAAAGTGCCCGTCGCCCACCTCCACCTCCACCACTGCCTCCCCTCCCCCCCTCACTCCCGCCTTCCCTCCTTTATTACACTTCGCTCCTTCGTCACTCTCCTGCCCGCTCTCTTCCTCACTCCCCTCCTCACTCTCATCTTTCTCTTGGCTTGAGCTGTCACTCTCACTCTCCTCACTGCCCTCGTACTCCCCGTTCTCCCACCCAGTCACCCATGTCTTTCGCGCCCAATTTATGTCCCAAACGTTTGCTTGCGCCTTGTAGACAGCAGTCCTACTCCAACCACTTCCCTTCTGCCCATTCCCTGTATCCTGGACACCATTAGCGCCGTAACCACCACCACCACCACCACCATTGCCATCACCATTGCCATCACCATTGCCATCACCATTGCCATCACCATTGCCATCACCATTGCCATCACCATTGCCATCACCACCCTGCAGATTCCTCTCACCTTCCCTGTCCCGCTGCGAATGCCGTTTGTCAACCCCCGCACAAATTACGTTCTTTTTGCCCAAACCGTCACCCCAAGCATCCCGCACACCCTCCGCTTCCCCATCCTCGTCCGCCTCTACTTTCACCACCACCCCCTGCGTTGCACCCATATGCCCTCCCCGCCCCACAACTCCATTCCCGCCCTTCCCTCCCACACCCTTGCCATCTCCCTTCCCCATCCCGCCTTGCCTCTCGTCCTCATCCCCACACTCCTCACCCTCGCTCTCACTCTCCTCCCCTGCCCCTCCCGTCGCACCCGCAGCCCTCTCAGTAAGCGGCAGCAGCAGCAGCCCATACCGCCTCATAAAAGCCGACACCCATTTCTGCGTCAGAGGGGCTTTCCCCGCCGTCAGGTACTTAGGCGCGAGGGCATGGGCGCGCGCTAGAATGCGCTCCACGGTGGCCTCCCGCTTCTTCTCCTGCTCCTCCCTTAGCACCCACGCGGCCACCTCGTCCTCCAGTCGCACCACCTCCATGCTGCCCGCGGGACTCGCGCCCGCCTTGATCCACTTGCGCTGCTCGCCCGCGATCTTCTGCACCTTGCGGGGGGACACGTCCACGCCGTACTTGGCGAGCACCACGGCGGAGATCACAGTGGCGCTCACGTGCGCGCGCAGGCAGCGCAGCACGGCGATCTCGTACTTCACGCGCACGTCCATAGGCGGCCGCGCGCCCTGGGGAGGCAGCGAGAAGCTCGTGGGCCTGTTCTTGGAGCCCAGGAATGGGTGCCTCCACTTCCCCTCCGTCACAGTCCCTTCTGTGCCTCCTCCGTCGCCAGCCTGTCCGCTACCATCCCCGCTATCCCCGCCAACCCCAGCATCCCCGCCGCCGCCACCAGCACTATCATTCCGGTCTCCCTCTCTGCCCCTCTCTGCGTCCTCCTTACCTCCATCCAACACATTTTCCAAACCTCCCACTTTTTTACCTCCGCCCCTTCCTCCTCCGTCCTCTCCACCTCCCTCTCTTCTCCCTCCCTCTCCTCCTCCTTCCTTTCCGCCTCCCCTCTCCTCTCCTCTGCTTCCGTCCTTTCTTCCCTCTCCCTCACCTCCTCTTCCTTCCGCTCCTCTTCCCCCTTCGTCATCCTCTCCTCTCCCTGCCCCTGCGTCGACGCCTCTACCCGCCGCACCCTGCTCCTCGACCACCAATCGATGGCTCACACCTGCAGCCATGCGCGCGTTCTCGGATTCCGCATGACCGCCATTCACAGCGACGCTGTCACGATGAGCCAAGGAACTGACGGCGGGTCCTCTCCCGCCGCTGGGAAACGTCACTTGCTCCTGCTGCTGCGTCGTCATCGCCTGGAAAAGATGACGGTGATCCGTCAGGACTGCTGGGGTAGCGACCTCAGCTAACGCTTTGAGTGACTATGCTACATGGGGCGTGGGGGGGACGACGGCTGCTGTGACTACTGCCGCTGCTCGCCAGCGGTCTCCTTTGTGGGGGGGACGTTGGCTGCTGCTCCTCATGCTGGAATGTCAGGAGTATGAAACATTCTCGAACTTCGCCAAGAGGGTGGAGCTGTCGCGCTAAGAAGTGGATTGGACTAACTCGGAAACTGTGGGGCAGACTCAGGTTAAACCGTTATGGAAAACGGGGTCAACAATGGTCACTAAAAAGCTGAATCGCCTCACTTTCATCGTTCACGAAAAGGCTTCAGATCATGGAGTCGCGTCTGAGAAATTAAAAGGGAAGGCTGTGAGTAGAGTTCATTTGTGCAAGCGCACAGCCACAGGAATAAGGGGGAAGAGATTTCTCCCAGCCGGAACCATCACCCTCAGCGGTAACATGAGACTGGAGGAGAAGAAAACCCTAGATTAGTTGGTACGATCCGTCCCTGGTTCTCTTATCGCACACTGTGGCCTCATGATTCTGGCTTCTGTGAAATCATTCCACGTCCCGGATGACTGGTTGCATCTTGCTTCGATTCGACGAGTTGGATGAGTGACTCACGGGGAACTCTGATGATGTGGCAGGATGAGAGTGCTCAGGAGCATTACAGAAGCAGACCGAATTCGTGTGTCAGACAATGGTGCTCCATGCAATTACCCTTGTCCAGACAGCTGCTTGCCGGAGACCATGATTCATAATGTTTATATCTACATCTATTCCCCACATACATTAATCCATACTGAATATATATTGTTTACAATGCACAACGTCACTCCCTTTGCCCGTATCTCAATTACTCCTTGGAATATACTATCATACCCTGTGAGAACATGTGCGCTTACAATTCAACGCCCAAATTGAGGGAGTGACAAGCCCGTATCAAATATTTCAAGCGCATGGAACAATAACGTATATAAATTTATTACAGAAAAAACTGTCGATATAACCGGGAATCGTAGTGGATAGGATAAGAATTGCTAAGTTGTAATGAAGCCAATGAAGTCTTGAAGTAACCATGCTAATAATAGTTGAAAGAGAACAACATGAAATTAAGATAGAAGTACAAGGATATAGCAATCTAGCTAGCCATGTACTCTGAGGGGTACATTCCCTTATTAACTGTTTTGCATTGCTACAGTAAGCGCGACTATGACTCTTCTCGACAGTTACCATGTTGCATCGTGTAACCTCCGAGTACGGTTGTCAGCAGTCACAACCGTTGACTAACTGCAACTGTCGACCTTCGAGTGACTCTCGAGTTGCCGCGTGCTCTATATGAGCTATTGCGGTACTGGTACAGTAGCGCTGCTTCGTTATGAAGTGGTGCGCTAGAAGAGAACCTTCGAGAATGTTATATTAACTTTTCAGTTATTCCAACACTCCCCTTCATTCCTGAAGGTGAGCCACGTGGAATTTCTTCGAGATCCCGAAGAGGTCGGTGCAGTGCTGAAACTTCTGACGTGGCAGTTTCTTCGTCAAGAAATCGGCTGCCATGTCACCAGTTGGGCAGTACGCGAGTTTGACCTTGCCCTTGTCGATCTCGTCTTGGACAAAGAAGTAACGGAGTGCGATGTGTTTCGTGCGGTTCACGAAGCCGGGCTTGTTCGCGATCTTGATCGCGCTCTGATTGTCGCAGAGTAACGTGAAGTTCCCGTTCATCGTCACCTTCGCTTCTTGCAGGAGCTCCATCAGGTACAACCCTTCGCGAACAGCTGCGCTGGCGGCGATAAACGCAGCTTCGGCTGACGAAAGAGCGATGAGCTCCTGCTTCTGGGAGTTCCACGAGATGAGACCAGCAGGTTGGAGTTGAAAAACGAAGCCTGTGCGGGAGCGTCTGTTGTCAGCATCTCCCGCATGGTCCGCATCTACGTAGCCGTGAAGCTGTAGAGTAGACGTTAAGTTAGCCACGTAGGTGAGTCCGACGTCGGGAGTGGAGTACTGGAGAGCTCGGCGTAGGTCTAGTAGATTCTCCCCTTCAGGTCGACGCAGGTACTGCGCGAGCTGGCTTGCGACGTAGGAGAGATCCGGCCTGCACGTGACGGCGGCGAACAGGAGACACCCCAGCTGCTGCTGATAGAGCCGATGATCTTTGATGGAGAGAGGTGTGGTGTTGGGTTCGTGATTAGGATGAGGTGTGCAAAAGGGGGTGGTGAGGTTGATCGGGGCGATTGCGAATTTCTTCGCGAGCGTTTCCGCGTACTTAGCGGCAGAGAGGTGGATGGAGGTGGCGGACTGGGTGATGTTGAGTCCAGGAACTGTGTGACGTCGTGGTTGATCGTCACCTCGAGCTTCTCCTTAATTTCTTCCTCGAACCGGTCAAGCAGCTCCGTGTCGTCCCTGGTGTAGAGCAGGTCGTCGACGTAGGCGACGAGGAGGATGAATTTGCCGTGTGATTCCTTCCGATACATGCCTTGGTCGTGCGGCAATTGAACGAATCCGAGCTCTGTGAGGACGATGTGCAGGTACTGCTGCCAGAGACGAGGAGCTTGCTTGATGCCGTAGAGGGATTTCTGGAGGAGCAGACGGCGTCGTCGCTTTCCTCGAAGGCGTGAGGTTGTCCGACGAAGATGATGGCGTCAACGAGGGCGTACAGGAACGCACTTCCGACGACGATCTGTCAAAGCGGACGCTGCTTGACGGCCGCGATGCAGATGAGAATGCGGACTGAGGTGTGTCGTCCGACGGGCACGAAGGTTTGGTAGTAATCCACCAGGTGAGTTTGCTCGAAGCCGCGCACCACCCATCTCGCTTTATACTTGTTAATTGAGCCGTCCGCGAGTGTTTTGATTCTGAAGACCCATTTGTCGCTGAGAATTTTCCTCCCCCTTTGCAGATGATCGGGGGACGAGCTTCCAAGTCCCGCGGCGCTTCAGAGCTGCTACTTCTGCTGTCATGGCTGCCTTCCACTTCTTGCTGTCGGGCCCAGACAGGGCCTGTCGCACGGTGGTGGGTTCCTTGGGTGAGGTGTGGCGAACAGCGACTCCGAGCCCAAGGATGCGGAGGCCAGTTTCGTTGGTCTTTTCGTAGGCGAGGTGATCGTAGTCGTGGTAGCTGGTAACTTCGACAACGTCGTCGTCGCTGTCGTGGCCGGTGCAGATGGTGTCTTGCGAGGGGTTTCCTGGTGGTAACTCGGCATCCGGAGATCGGCGCACTGTGCTGTTGTAGTTGTGGGCTTTCACGAGTTGTATCGTCATGATCAAATTGAGAAACAGGGATGTAAGTTGGAGTCTGAAATGGGCTTGTAAGGGGGATGTTGGGAAAGGAGTCGAATGGTGTGTTGTCTGTTGCGTCTGCGTCCTCTGCCAGGTCAGCCTCATCCTGTGACGTGGCGAAGCTGCGGTGCCCCTCGAAAACCCTCTTCGTTGCTTTGTTATATTTGTGGTGTTCCTTGAACAGTGGCAAGGTCAGTTTCTCGTAGAAGATGCAGTCACGTGATTTCGTCACCTCATGTGTCGCGTAGTCTAGCACGATCCACACCTTTTATTCGTTTCGATCCTGAGGTGAATGCCCCAGCGTGCCCGATCAGCAAACTTTTCGGTCCTTGCTGTGTGTGGCCTGTACTATACCATGCAGCCGAACACCCGAAGAAGACGCGTGTCAGCCTTTCTGCCCGTCTAGAGCTTGTAAGGAGAGGTGTTGTTCTCGAGGCTTCGGGAGGACAGCAAGTTGTGCAGCCGAACAGCGTGGTTCATCGCAAAAGGCCAAAATTTTGTTGGGATGGCAGACTGCTTCATCAGGCCCTCATCCTTGTGGCACGGCTCCTGTTTGTGCGTTCTGCTACTCCCTGCTGCTCGTGAGCGTAGGGCCAGGACACCAGGTGCTCAATCCCCTTCTTGGCAAAGATTTCCTTGAACTCAGTTGAGAAGAACTCTGTTCCCCCGTCTGTCTGGAAGCTTTTCAGCTTCAGTCCTGACTGTCGCTCGACGCGCTTCATCCAGGTTATGAAGCAGTCGAAAGCTCACGAGAGGTAGTCGATGTTGATGGGCCAGACGTAGAGTGTGGAAGCGTCGTCGAAGGTCATCGTGTTCTGCTCGTCGTCAAGCCCTGATTGGCAGTATCATGAAGTCGCTGTAGACTTTCTCCAGTGGTTGGTAGCGTTCGTAACCAGGAGGTAAGTCGGGGAAGGGCTTGTGAGCGAGCGACGCGGTGGGGCAGACAAGGCACGGTGGGTCATTTGAGGTTGCCTTAAGTACGTCGCCGCCGGGTAGAAGTAATCCTTCCGAATCGAAGACTTCGGCTTCGATGGAGTTCTTTAGCGTGGCGTGCGAAGGATGTCTAAGCCGCTGGTGCCAGATCTCCGGTTCGGCACGATAACCGACTATTTTCTTGTAATACTTATTTCTCTCTGCTTCATCTCGCTGCTCCTTTTAAGGTCCTTGGTCGGTGGCGGCGTTTACATATGTTGCGAAGGCTCGAGTGGAGGCTCGTTCCAGAACAACTTCGGGAATTCCGGCGATATCGTTTGTGTCAGCGGTGTGAACCGGTTTGCCGGTGACGAGAAGGCGCGTTTCCCGCGAAAGTCGTGCCGCCTCAGGCCATTCGGAAGCTGGAAGTCCCTCCATCGGGACGCGATGATAAAGGTATTCGTTGCCGGCGACCGGGATTAACCGAGGTCCTTGTTCCGGCGGTGGTGCTTCCTCGGTAGGTTCGGATAGTTCTACTGCTCTCCCGAAGTCGTAAGTCATGCCTTCTGACTCTTCTTGTGCTTCCTCTGCAGGTTCGGGAGCATACTGGTCTGGAAGAGGAGGTCCGCCCCAACTGGTGCCGCGTGTTGCCTAGT